GGTACAGCAAACGTGCCATAAACTATGATGTCGGTCACCAGGAATGATGGATTTAAAAGCAAATGGACAATTTCTGTGAATGCCAGGTACCACCCAAGCACAGCTGCCCTCTTTCCAAACTCTCTTTTATGAAGTTCATATAATACAGCTATTCTCCTCTTTTTTTCTCTCTCTCCACGTTGTAATGTGCTACGTGGAGCCATGGTCATCTGGCTCCATCTTAATTATATGGGAAGCTTAGAGGGGAATGCTAGCACACAACAACAGAGCACAGCAAACACACAGAGTCCCGAAGCCCAGAGAATTACCAAACATTTCCGAAATTATAGCCCGATGAAAAGTTTACAAGTGAACTCAAAGACTCTGGAGTAAATCCTGAAGAAACTGTTTCTTAAATGAACTGCCTTCCTGCTGTCTAAAGGCACCATAATGCTTTTTTTTTTTTTTTTTTTTTTTTTTTGCTGCTAGCGCATGCTGATGACGTTTTATTCTTCTATAGAAACGAGTAGTGTACGAGTCAATAGGCATCATCATCGTACAGTCTACATGCATGTCGTACCCAAGTTTATTAGATCCATGTCGCACAGTGTGGTTTGCAGTGATCTTATAGGATTGCTAAAATCATGCAGTGTGTCTCGGGCTTTAGTTGAAGTGGCACGTGAACCGATCATTTCTTACTATACTAGTTATAGCATGAAATAAACATGAATAAACATTAGAAAGTATTTTGTTTCTAACACGGAAAGACGTCAATTCACACCATTTTTCAAGTTCAAATCCACCGACGTTAATCTACTCTCCTGTCTGGTTTGTTTGTCGGACAAAAATGGCAGATTCGGCATTATGAATGGTCAAATGTTGCACTGTATCTCAGCACTTTTGCAATGCTGTTCAGTCAGTCAGATTCGGACAAACTGTATAATTTATCAAATGCAATGACATTTAGACATTTTGTGGAATAAAGTTAAAATACTGTGACTAGACAATCTGGGGGAGTTAAAGCCATCTGCAGGCTCCTCATTAGGTGTCTGAACAAGTCTATCATGCCCTCCAGATTATATGTCTAAGAGGAAAATTGAGGGTTATTTAGGAGCACTCAGACCAGAGCTCAGGGCTAAAAAAGTTTGTGATGCAGCCTTATTCTTTACTGCAGAAGACATCACTGTTACCTGCAGTCACAGTTTGCAAGAACTCACACACACAGACTCACACACACCAGCTGATCCTGAGAGACCTGCTCCATTTCACTTCCATTTAGTCCTTTAAATTCTCTCTAATCACACAGAGGCTGGGGTCCAAAATGAGTTTTATTTCTGAAACTACTGTATACTAAAAATAAGTAGGCTACTGGTCACACAAAGATAACAAGATAAGGCACACTATTTGCAGTGTTATTTATTATTCTTGCTGACTCTAACGTAAACTCTAAATGATCTGAATTTAGAGTTGGGAACATTATTAGGTTACAATGGAACAGTAGAAAGAGAACAGAAGTGATAGATGTGACCTCTCCTGCAACTCAAAAACAGAGAGCTGTGCTGGCAGCAGCTCACTGAAAAATGATCTTTAAAAAAGCATCATATGACCCCTTTAAGGCTCTCTGGAATACTTGATTTTGATTGGCCAGTTCTGGCAGGCAGCGGAGGGATATTTCCTCATATTTGCCATTGCCCATTTATGGCAACGCTGTATCAGTCTTTTAACTGTTTAATCTTAGGCTGTGTGCTGTTTTAGCAAATTGGAAATAAGAGTGTGCTTTCTTTTACAGTCACATGACGATGACTGACGATACTTGATTAATGACCTTAGTGGATTTTTGTTTTAATATTAGCCTACTAAAATAGGACTATTTTGTTTCTTAACGAAGGCTGAAATCTTAAAACAATTTAAACTCAAATCAAAATCGAATTGTTTCTTGCTATTTTTTTATTGTATTGCTGTAATATCTGGTCACCATTTATAGCTTTTAAAATTAGCATGTACCTGTATGTACCATTTTAATTTCATAATATGACAAGTAAAGTTTTAACAAGAAAATAATTAGGGCAGGACTTATCCATTTTTTCCAATGTGGCCTTTGCATACATGAAGGTAGACAAGTGCTGGAGGGGTGAGGCAGAAAAATAAGAGGGTTTGGTGATGTCAGCTGAAAAGGGAAGTCATTTCAGAGCCAAAACAAGTTACAATATTTTAATAAAAAATTTACAAACTTTTTTTTTTTTAATGCACCAATAAATCTTAAAATACAAGACCATAAAATGCATTAATAAAGTAAATTGAGTCGTTTTCATTTAATGTTGAGTTTCCATTACCCTGGAAATGATGAATTACCGCAGCAACAATGAAGCCTGAACAACATTTGATCCACAATATTGATTTTTTTCATATCTCATTTATACCAATGTATCTGTTCTTGTTTGTTTCCCCAACAGGTTTAAGTTACGTGCCATATGATATTCCTAAAGACACACTGCTGTTGGACCTGCAGAGCAACAGGATCACAGAGATCAGGGAGGGAGACTTTAAAGGAATGACCAACCTCTATGTGAGACCTAACATATCATTATTTCATAATTTGTATCACAATCGCATTTGCTCTCTTTTTGTAAATGAATTTAGAAATGCAATATTGTCCTTTATGTTAAGAAAAGTTTGTACAGCATTCCCTCATAGTCCTTGTCCTATTTCAGGCCCTGGTGTTAAGATATAACCAGATCTCCAAAGTTCATCCCAAGGCATTCCTTCCTTTGAAGCGTTTGCAGAAATTATACATCTCCCACAACCTTTTGACTTCCATCCCCAAAAACCTGCCTCCATCCCTTGTGGAGCTGCGTATCCATGACAATCACATCAAGAAGGTGCCGGCATTTAGCTTCTCAGGCCTCCACAACATGCATGTCATTGGTAAGACTGTGTGTTTGATTCATGATGTCTAACAGACCTTTGTCAGGTAAGATGCCAAATTGAATTCATCACGGATGAGGGATAGAGTTATTACAATGTCATACACTGTATCACGTTATTTTCACAACTCACAACCTTCAAAACTGTTTTGTGGAGTTTTTGTCTACCGAAAGTTTTTTTTTCTTTTTTCTTTTTCTTCAAAAAGACATTTTGTCAGCTGAACAGTAGTACAATCCATTGAACACAATATGTACTTCTATCCCTCACAGCCTCATTTTCATTCCTGTCAAAAATTAAATATGGCACTAACCTGACTAAGGTCTATAGTTACTCGCTGAGGTTATAGTCCTGTAACGTTGCTTTCTGACAATATTCACTGATAAAATTTGCTATATAAATAAAACTAAAGACTTGATTTGTGCCTCAAACACTGGTTGATATTGCAGAAATGGGTCGTAATCCACTTCAGAACAGTGGTTTCGAACCTGGAGCATTTATGGGCCTTAAACTGAACTACTTGCGCATTTCTGAAGCCAAACTCACCGGAATTCCCAAAGGTAATATGAATGATGGTCAAAATTGAATATAAATTTAATTGACTTAATTTACTGCCAATCTCTTTGGCATTTTTTTCATATTTTAATTAGTAACACAGAATAGGGGTGTACTTGTGTTACAGAATACAACATTCTTTTCTACATGGAATGTGTCCCATTCTTTTCTAAACACAATGCAACTCATTCTGTTCCATATGGAATGTGTCTCATTCTTATCAGACCTTCCCAGTAGTCTCAATGAGCTTCATTTGGACAGTAATCAGATTCAGGCCATTGAGTTTGTGGATCTCAGCCAGTACACCCAGCTGCAGAGGTAAACCTTACACATTCCTACTTTTTTGGTGTGATTAATATATGTAAACAGACTGTATTTGTTTCTAAAGTGATATTAAATTAAACATTTCCCTTCAGTTGAACTTCTTACATGGACGTATGATATAAAGTTTGCTTTGGGTGTCCTCTAGTGGCTAAAACCCCTCTGTCTCTGTGTTTAGGTTGGGACTCGGCAGTAACCAGATTCGCCACATTGAGCACGGTGCTTTATCTTACCTCACCAACCTGAGAGAGCTGCACCTTGACAACAACCGTCTGTCCGGTGTGCCCAGTGGACTGCCTCATCTGAAGTATCTGCAGGTGTGCTTGTGTAGGCCTACATGATTCTACTAATTCTAGTTCATTTATACTAAATAAACTAAACCACACTTTCATTACAGGTTGTCTACCTCCATTCAAACAACATCACTAATGTTGGAGTGGATGACTTCTGCCCTACGGGTTTCGGAGTGAAGAGGGTGTTCTACAATGGCATCAGCCTCTTTGACAACCCAATCAGGTATTGGGAGGTGCAGCCCGCCACGTTCCGCTGTGTCAGTGACCAAATGGCTGTACAGTTTGGCAACCACAAGAAATAAAAACAAAATGCACAAAACCAATCCAGGAGAACAAGAGGAAAACGCCCATAATTTGTGTAAATCGAGATATTTGAGTGAAGAAGACGAATAAACATTTTCATGGAGGCATAATTCAGAAGAAACATGGACTCCATTTAACGGAAGTCAAAGTCCAACCAGTTTATTGAAAACTGAATATTGATGTGTGTAATTCCCTGCTGACATTAATAAATATATACTTTAATTTAGTTGACATACAGCATTGATGATTCCTTGAGATGTCTATCAACAGCTTCATTTGTTTAGTTTTCATGGGTTGCATCTTTAAATATTGAGATAAATTCACAGTTTGTCATTCTGGACGGCTGATTGTCACTCATTCATCATGGTAATACTGTAATAAAGTGGATTGTGTTGTGGATGTTTATCATGCCAACATTAAAGGTGACAGGCTATTTATTTCTAACTTTAAAGTCAAGATCCCAAATGCATTCAGTGGAATTAACAATAACCTTCCAGCGGTGGCAGGAGATGTGAAGGTGGAGTACCTAAAACACAAAGGAGAATGTCTTCACAAACAAGTCCTTCTGCTGGTTGCATGACCACGCCTACAAGGCTTGGCAGAGTCATTTAAATCCGTTTGCGTATAGTTTCTGCCCTTAACGACTAAACAACACGAGAGATGGACTACAAAGAACAGGTACGTTTACAAATATTTACAGAATTAACTAGATGCAGCAGATGACAGAAATTAATATTTCAATACTAGCCTATAAACAATCTGTATTATTTCATGGCACGTTAAACGGTTGGATTTTTCAAGTTAAGACTGCACATTCGAACGAGGTTCTATTAGAAATATCATAGAATGTGTTCTATTTTATTACTAGTTTATTAGAATAGTGTTTTATAACAGGCCTATAGGATTCGCTATCAACTGAGAAGCATTACTTTGTTAGAAAAGTGATTATAAATCGGTTATAAGTAATGTCCTTAAAGAATGCAGCCGTCATATGTTGTCAAACTTGTTCTAAACCCTGTAACAGCTGTAAACGGGTGTAATCTTGACAGACTGAAACTGTTATGCACAGGTTGAGCAGGTTGTATCCACCGCGCAATTCGGAGATTTGATCGAGTTCTCGTACCCCATTGGCTACGCACACTGGGGCGTGTACGACGGAGATGGATACGTCATTCACTTTGCGGTTGCCGGTAAGCAGGAGAACTTTCACCTTAGTATTAATACTATTTCTATAACGATGTAATCATGCTATACTTATACAACACAATAATATAGACTACTATACAAGTCAGATTACATTGTGAGAACTTACCCCAATATAAGGGCATGTTGCCACAAAATGTTAACATCTGATCTTTTATTTATTAAATGCCTTTTCACAAGTGTAAAATTATTTTAAATTATATATATACATACATATATATGTATATGTCTTGCAAACTGTCTCATACCAAATTTGCTTTTTCCAGATGAAACTCAGGTGATGGGTACGTTTCGAAATTGTCTGCAGGCTATCTTCCCTGTTTGTGGTGATCTTTTGCTTGGAGAAACTAAGATTCGGCGTCAGCTCCTGTCTGAAGTTAATGTGCCAAAAGGAGCTCGTGTTTCAGTGAGCAATAACCAGCACGCTCTCGAGCCTTCACCTGTGGATGAAATTAGAAAACGACGAGATGCTTTACTGGACAAAGAGTTTACTTACAAAATCTTCACACACAATTGTGAGCACTTTGCCACATTTGTCCGCTCCGGTAAAGCTATGTGCAATCAGGTGAGTTCATGAATCAGGTATAATTTAACAGTATAGACATTCTGTGTTCTGTACACTTTTTTTTAGGCTATTCTGACATGCTGTTGATTCCTTTGTTTTAACAGATTCCAGGGAAGCCCAAAAACAAGGAATGTGTGGAATCTACACAATTATTTAGCTACCTTGTGCCATCGAGTTAACCTACTGAATACCAACAACTACAGATTATCACAATAATAATATATTATGTTTGATTAAGGATATTTCTCACACACTCGTTAAACCAGTTAAGATTCCTGTTTGATGTAATTGAAAAGGGTTCTTCACACTGATCTGTAATAGTATATAGATCAGTGGTTCCTCACTTTCTTCAGTGTGCCTGCAGGTCTTGTTAGGTCTCCTAGCCTTGTCAAGCTGGTCTGTTGGCTGGTTTTAAAATGGTTTTGGGTTCAGGCCAGGAGACCAGCTTGGTTATGCAGGAAGACCATATATACCAGCTAAAACCTATACCAGCTTACACCTGCTTTTTTCAGCAGAAATGCTGTCAAAATGTACATTGAATGTTTAGTAAAGGTGTTCTGATGTTTCTGACTGTCCTTTTCACATTTCTAACTAATATGGCACATAATAGCCTATTACCAGTTTACACCACAAACACCATTAAATTGCTTGACAAGTGCAGATTTATTTCCTGTGCTAATGCATTGTGTATTACAACAGAAAGTATGGGAAATATCTAAGAGTTCATCTTTTTTGAATAGCCAACACCCAGCAAACACCGAACATTCCCCTAATGTTAGCATATGGTTCCGGTTTAATTCTTTTTTTTTTTGGGTCCAAATAATGTTCAAAGAACGTTTTCTGTAGGTTTTTGTAACTAAAAAGCATTTGTTGTAACCAAACATGTGATTTGCTACTTGTTAGTCAGCTGCAGGTGACTGTTTCACCAGAATAGACCATAAGTTTTAAGTATATCTGCTAAAAGTGAATTTTCTGTAAAAAAAAAAAAAAAATCCATTTTGATTTTACTGCCTTCAAATCAGCCACAAGTGGAGAGAAAGAAATTAAACAAAATCATCAAGATTATAAAAGCTTCTTTCAGGGTTTAAAATGAAGCCATTTTTATTAAGCTTTTACATTAGTAACAATGACTAGTAAGCTAATTGTATTTTGGATGAAACTGGTTACCATGGTGATTTTTTTCATAAGGTAAAGGGGCAATGCAGTGTTGTGTTTTATATCATTCAAAAAATAAATATTTATATTCTATACAAAGACCTATTCTGATTCACTTTTTTCTTGTACATTTATTCGTAACCGCAAAAAAAAAAAGAAGCTTATTTACACATCACGAGAGTTTATTGTTATTTCTGTAAAGACGAAGCGTTTCCTACATTCCCCGGATGTTGCTCCACGCTTGCTCAACGTCCCGGATGTACCTACATTTTAGTAGAGGAACAAAAAATGGGCTCATTATCAAGCTTCACCAAACCGTTTAAATTATCCCCACAAACGATTATTGTACATGTATGAGGACCAGGCCGCAGTTCTGAGCAGAGTCCACGTCCATAGTCTCCGTGTCTGTAAAGTGATTAATGAAATCGAAGAGGTAAGACAGTTGTGTACATTCAGTGTTGCTACACGCTGTTGACGTTAGCAAGCCAACAGTCAGTTGCTAAGCGAAGATTATATCAATAACAAATAACGTGTAAGTTTCTGTAGGAATATATAAACATTAGAGGGGATCGCAATAAAATATTGACAGTAAAATATGTTTTCTTAAAAGATCACGGTGTTCTTCAGCCACTCCTTGTGAATGCTAAGCATCAGGCTAACACAGCTGTCCAGATAGATTTCAGAAGATTGTTGATGTGTAACTGCTTATTCGTCAGTCGTTTCTAGTCTTTAAACTTGCATATGAATAGAGCATATGTTAGTGTTTTTAAAGCCATGATATGGAAGTCAGATGATTGATGCATTCTGCTATTTTGATATTCTCTCTCTTAAATCTGTTAGATGTTAATTAGTAGGCTAACCAGGTCAGCAACTTCACTGTTCCTCTGCCTAAATATTTTGTCTACCATTAGTTACTAGATTTATTAGATCAAAACTGAACAAACGGTTAAATACAAGTTTTCTATAGTAGTTAAACTCTAAAATGTTCTTAAATTGAAGCACTGTCTGTAGATGTGATCAAATGTATAATCTGTATGATTTTAAAAGTAGATGAGTTATCAAAATATTTAAACTGTATGTTTCATATGTTGATGTGATAGAGTATGTACCCTGTTTTTATATGTAGATCTGATATCAGAATATATAATAGGTATGATTTTAAATGTAGATGTTATATCAGAATATGTTATATCAGAATATATTTTTGATTTGATGTTTAGATGTCATATCTAAATATATGATCTGTATTATTTATATATATA